CCACAGGACATGTCCAAACCACTGTCCCTCCTCTGGACATGTCCAAACCATCTCAATCTGGCCTCTCAAACTTTATCTCCCAGTTGTTCAACCTGTGCTGTACCTCTGATTATCTCATTCCTAATCTTCTCCATCCTTGTCTCTCCTAAGAAGAACCTCAACATCTTCATTTCTGCCACTTCCAGTTCTGTCTCCTGTCCTTTTGTCCATGTCTCTGTCTCCAGACCATACAACATAGCTGGTCTCACCACTGTCTTGTGAATTTTTCCTTTGACCTTTGCTGACACCCTTTTTGTCACAAATCACTCCTGAAACTTTTCTCCATCCACTCCATCCTGCCTGGACTCTCTTCTTCACCTCTTTACCACACTCCCCATTTTCCTGGACAGTGGACCCCAAGTCCTTGAAGTTGTGCACCTTTGTGACCTCTGCTCCTTGTAGCCTCACTGTTCCACCTCCTCCCTCTCATCCACACACATGCACTCTGTCTTACTAGAGCTGACTTTAATTCCTCTTCTTTCAAGTGCATACCTCCACCTCTCCAAGTTCTCTTCCACCTGTTCCTTGTTCTCACCACAGATCATAATGTCATCTGCAAACATCATAGTCCACAGGGATTCTTGCCTGACCTCATCTGCTAGTCAGTCCATCACCAGAGCAAACAAGAAGGGGCTCAGAGCCGATCCTTGATGCACTCCCACCTCCACCTTGAAGCCATCTGTCACTCCTACAGCACATCTCACCAATGTCCTGCTGCCCTCATGCATGTCCTGTCTAACATGTCCTGTCCTTATTTGACGTCGTTTCCATGTTTTCATGTCAGCACTGGATGTCGATAAGTGCACCGTTCTCTCTGTGATCGTCCTTTTGGACCTAATTATCGCCTACGGATCCATGTTTGATGTTTAACGTCATGTTCTTGTGGTTTATATGGTTTTATATTTTTGTAAAACTGACAAGACATAGTTCCCATCAGATCATAACGGAAACTACCACACCTGAACTGCACCATCTTGGTTGAATACCTGTAACCAGTGATGCCTGTGAACAGCATTAAATAAAGGGGTTTATTCAGACTTTTTTCAAAACTGTTGTCAACTGTGGCTTCTTCAAACGCTAAAGGATCCTATAGAGACACATTAGATGTGCGTCGTTGAAAAGCTATGACTACCATCGCAGTTACTGGGCATACGAGGCGGACAAAGAAAAAAAGTGTTTTAAGACTTGGACTCTTTCTGGCGGTCACTTCATTCAACATTGTGAATTACTTAATTAATAAATGCATTATGCAGACGTGTGCGCATTAATGTCTTTGAATGAAGCGGTGGAGTGAAGGATGCGATGACTGAAAAATAAGAAAACTCTGGTCAGGGTGAGTGAACAGTGTTTGATGTTTGTACACAAATTTAACTGAAATATGCGCCTTTTTCCATCTCTCAGCTTTTTAGAACTTTAATTTGATTAAATGACTGTGATTCTGAGCAGTAATGGTTGTAAACGTTGAAATTTTATTGCAGCAAAATCTATTTATGGATGTAAATCCGCTCAGACACAGTTATTTGTCTTAAATCTGGCACCAGGTGCACTTTTTGTCCCAGATTTGATTTTATCTTTCAACCAAAACTCTATAGTTGCATTTCATTTTGCTAAGTGTGAGATTAATGTTGATATGGTTTCATAAAAGACTGTTGCCCATTATTTGTTAGCTGATATTCTACATCTTGACCTTTTCTCTTTTATTATCATGACAGTTATTTGGCTCGTTTAAAATAAATAGACGTTAACTTCGGTCTGAACAGAGAAACCGTTCTGATCCAGCTGTGGTTTGAGCAGCAGTGACTTATTTAAAAAAAATAAACTGTGTCAGAGCTGAATTTCTCATCATTTCAGCTTCTGCAGAACTTAGAATTTCTACAACGCCATAAAAAATGTAAAAGCAAATGATGTAAAAAGATGAGAACGGTGTCCATAAATAGATTCGATTTGATCATTGTTTGCAGTGGTCCCCAATCCTGGTCCTTGTTTTAGAGGTTCCTCTGGCTGATTAAAAGAAATGAGTGATTAACAGGCTGCTGCAGGACATGAAGAGCAGGAGATCAGCTAAAACTGCAAGATGCCGGCTCTTCAGGACCAGGACTGAGCACCACATGTCCATTATGATTTAAACTAAACTGTGAGAAGAATAAAAAGTTCTTACCTGTGTAGTTTCTGTCATCTTTGGTGTGCAGAAAAAAAGAAAAGAAAAGATTTAGTTTATTGATTTAAATGTATTTGCAGGTCTGCTGTGCTCCACTAGGTGGCAGCGTAGCATCTCTGTGGTTTCCTGTTCGAAGCAGGAAAAATGCTTTTCTTCTCCCAGGAGGCCTTCGTTACATAACAGTGCAAGAAAATATGAAACAAACATGTGAAAATCTTTTATTAGAGAGGCGAAGAGACGAGGTTGAAAGTTGATGTTCTGTTCGTGCAGAATGAATAAAACCTGCAGAACTGAGCAGCTTCTGGACAACTCTTTCAACATGTCCACTACAACTGTCCTAATAATCCCTTTTTCATCTCTTTAAATACAACCATTCCCATAGCAACTTTCCTGGTTGCCATGCCGACATTTCCTTCATGTCTTTGTATCGTCTTTGTGCTTTTCTCCCCATAAATCCTCATTTATTTGCACTAATTCGAACAAATTGTTCCAGACAGTGGCCGGCCCATCTGCTGTAGCTGCGAAGGCTTCTGGTTGTCGATGAAAACCGTCCTCCAAAACGCTCGCCTGCAGTCGGCGTTCAGCCGTATACCTGCCGGACATACAAACGACCCGCGCCCTGATTGGACGGATCATTTATCGCCTAGCAACCGTGCAGGAGAGCAGGCGTTGGTGATTATCGTCACCTTAGGGCCCGATGCTCGAGTTGTTGGGAGGAAACCAAAAGTCACTTCAACGCAGAATTATCCTCTTTAGGAATAAAATAAATATTATACTATTAATAAAAAGTAGAATTTATTTTATCTTTTATTGAATAAAGGGCACCCGTACGGACTTTTGATTTTAGCTCATGTGGGAAAAAATACTTGCTTTAAATATTAATTATTTATATTACAGTAGATGTTTTTAAATTAGCATAATATTGCTTTACACGGGATTAATTTATCCAAAATTGTTTCGTAGTTTTTGTCCTTTTTGTTTTTTAACTAAAAGGAACTTTATGACATTAAATTCTTCCATTTTTCTTGTGAGTCTATGTTCATTTTTTGAATTCTCAGACATTAGCAGCACTTTTACATCTTTCAGCCGTTTTATTTTATCACCACTTTATTATTTTTTACCTCACTAAATCAGGAGAAACAACTTAAGGTTACTATATTTTAGCTGGAATGACTAGAATATTTAAACCAGAGAGTCTGGGTATAAAGATTAAATAAAATAAGAATAATTAAAAATGCTTTATTTTAACTAATTTTGCTTAAAGTAAATTAAAAGTTGCAGCGAACATGATAGGAGCACTTTATGTATTTTATGATTATTAGGTTCAGTACAAAAGTTTAAATTAAGTCCTTGTTTCTTTATATTTTCCGTCCGATGATCCAAACAGTTCTCCAGAATTTTTAACCTTTTTCTCTGGATTTCGGCTGTTTCTTCACTCAGTTTCTGTCCAAAAACTTAAACCTATCGCTGAGGAAAGTGGAAAAAATGAAGGACAAATGAAGTTTCAGGCCTAAAAAAAGATAAACTGTATCTGAAAGTCATCTCTATAGATGAAAGTGGAGGAAAAACTTTTTTTTTAATCATCGTTTGATCAGGTTTCATCTAAATGTTCTCTGAGAATCAGCTCGTTGGAGCTAAATCCTGTTTTCTGTCCAAGTGTGTTATCTTTGGTTCTTTTAGATCCAGCTAAAGAAACGGTTTCAGGTTCAGTGACGGAAGAAAAAGACTGGAGGTCTAGTTTCTACTTGGAACGATTCAGAGGTAAAAACAGTTATCTTGTAGAAAACATGGAGAACGTCTGGCTCTTTGGAGGGAACCAGACAGAAATGATGGCTGGATCAGGAGTTTCTGAGGTTCTGACGGGATAAAACGACTAACGGAGGGTTTTCAGGACTCACAGAGGCAGGTGGGTTTGGGGGCGTCCCACTTCCCCAGCTTGGTGCAGTGGCTGATGTTTCTCCCCTCCAGGATGAAGCCGGCGTTGCAGGTGTAATGGAGGACCGTCCCTTCCACCGGCGGCCCAAGAGGCCTCGCCGCCACCCTGCCATTCTCCAGAGAGGTCCAGACCCGCGGGCACAGCAGCACTGCAACCCAACAGAACCGAGACCAGCATGAAGGCAGAGGCTCAGACCGATGGTTTCAGCTAAATGCATGATTTAAAAAGCAGATTAGAGGATCAGGAGTACGTCATTCAAATCATTGTCTGTATTAATATTCATCCAAACATCTCAAACCTGCAACAACTCCCACAAAAACGTTGAAACTGAATCGATTCCAGCTCAAAAATCAGGATAAAATATTTTATTTCAAAGAAAAGCAAAGATGGACAGAGAACTGCCGTTTTGATTTTAAATATAAAAGTAGAGAAATAAGATTTTTCTGGGAAATAAAGTGAATTTGGAGTGACTTCACTGAAATGTATCGACACTGGAATAAGGAGCGAAAAAGACAAACAGGGAGCTTGGGTTGATATAAAAGACAAAAAGAAGGTATAAAATGACAAAAAGGACGCACACGGTAATGGTTCAAAAGGATTTAAAAGTAGACATAAAAGGAAACTCGAGACAAACTGGATTTAAATGTTTTATTTGGGTCAGTATGTGAGGTTTAAATGAGACTCTTCTTTGTTTTGAGCAGCTTTGACTCAGAAAATGAGCAGATTTTTATTTTCCGTTTAGACTCCTTCGGATCTGTCGGTTTAAATGTGACTAAAACAGAAAGCGAGGATGATAAAGTTAGCAGAAATAAGAAATAAATGGCCGCCTTCGGTCTGATGGCCTGACAAAATACGGCTGAGCTGTTGAAACAATTCAGCTAGCTGAATCTTCCTCGCAGCGCTGCAGCTTCAGCTCTTACATAAGTGAGAGAAAACAGAAATCCTGCTTTACACCCGGCCCCCTGGGAGCGCTGAGCTGAACCTGAAACTGAGCTCACTTCTATCAGGAGCTCTGGCCTCGTCCCCCCGTCCAGGTGTGGCACTTTTCTCTTTACAGGCAGGTATAAAAACCAGAGGAGAAACCAGCAGGAAGCATCTTTTCTGGTAAAAAAACATAAAATCATATTTTATCATTTAATGAGGGACTCTGCGATTTGAAAACTGATACCAGCCAGGAAGTGTGCTGTATTGAAGAAGATTCAGAACTATGCTGTCCTACAGACAGTGAACGCAGCAGGATGAACAGTCAGGAGAACAAAGATTAAAAACCTGGATGTGTGTTTTGTTTTTTGGTTTTTTACCTGAGGAGTGATGTTCTTCTGCTCTACAAACCTGAGAGAGACATCACCAAACCAAAAGAGACAAGACTCAGGGTGGTGTCTCAGTGGTTACACTGATTCTAAATATGGAGGTCCAAAACCCAACACAACTATCAGATCAGACAAACAATCAAAGCCTTTTCATTGATCGTATGAGTAGCTGCCACATTGCACGACTGACCTCTACTCATGGTTTTAAACCAGCCGTGCCGCAATAGTTCTGCTGGACAGCTCCAGACCACCGGATAGCACAAGAGCACCGGACAGCACAAGAGCACCGGACAGCTCCAGACCACCGGACAGCTCTAGATCACCAGACAGCTCCAGAACACCGGACAGCACCAGAACACCAGACAGCTCTAGATCAACAGACAGCTCCATAACACCGGACAGTACCAGATCACCAGACAGCACCAAACCACTGGACAACACCAGGCCACTGGACAGC